GTATCTTTTGAGGTGAGATCCAGGTGATTTGGTGAAATACAAGAGACAGATAGACGATAAAATAGGCGGGGGGGGGGGGGGGGTGAGGAGGAAATAGGCGTAGGCGTGTGAGAATGAGTTGAGAGACAGGTGAGAAGAGCGGGGGGGGGGGGGAGTGAGTGGGGCAAAACAGGTAAGGAATGGAGGAATCAGAACTCTTCGATTTTAGCGAGGAAGTTTTTCGTATTTTATAGAACAATAATTACTAATTGTATGACACTTTGTCGCCGTTAATCTTGGTTGTATATTATGTTGTTTTCATGATTTTACCTTGTTTTGTTCGTGTAATGTTTTCATCATCGATATCAACATAGTTATCATCATTGTTTACTAATACAACTAGTTAGTGACAGTATCAGTATTATGGCTATATTATACCTATTATTTTTTTTAAAAAGGTATACATGTTTTTTTTTAAATAAAAGTTAAGCTTAAAAATAACGATTTGACGTGTATCAACAAATGGCTAGCTTTATAAAACAAAAAGACAAAAGCTACGTAAATGTATTGTTCAGTTATCGTTGTGTTACATGACCCTACATTAATTAGACCCTCCCCATTCAAAAGACCCCCCCCCCCCTCACCCCCAGTCGACCCCCACCCAACACATGACACTTCACCTATCAGATTCCATTAATTAACCGACATATAGATTTGAAATACATAAGCCTAAACAGGGTGAAACGTATTTCTTGAGTTCAAACTTTTTTTTTCTTGAATCATGTTACATTTTTAATTGGCATAGTCCTACTTATTGTCTTCAATTTTCCCAGTGATTTTATAAAAAAAATTCTCTACAAACTAAAAACTGTTTATGGTTAAGGGGATTCTAAATTGCAAGGCCACACAATTCTTTATAACCATACCAAAATATAGACGTGGGTTCAAAATTATAGGTCCCAAATATGTGTTCTTATATTCATAACAATATATATTACAAGAGACCTTACGGGAGATGAACACGGCCTTACAAAATCTCAAAGTCACAAACCCATCCCCTAAACCCTTTGGTCGTGGGGAGGGGTTGGTTGGGGGTTGAGTCTACTTTGGGTTCACTTGAGCAAAACCTTAGTAATTGAAAATAATTTATACAGGCCTAAAAATATTTAAACATTAATAATTAATGTATACAATCTTTTAAAAATAATGAAAATAATGATTAATTGCTGAGAGCTAATTTACTCAGAGTTAACGAAATAAAAATTGATATAATAACTTAATCGCAAAAATCTAAATCAAACAAACTTGATATTGAATACCAACATATGTTTCGAAAAGTAAATTATACACTTGAAGAAAACAATTCATAATAATTCACACACTACCGAAAGTTAAATCATGCAAATAAAAAATAAATCATTGACCAGCAAACTGAAAGTGAAAGTCCCTGAGCACTCACAGTTTTAAAAAACAAGTTAATAAAAAGTCTAGTGACAATTTAAGCGCAATTTCCTTATGTTATCCATAACAATTTTAAAGCGAGATAAATCATATATTCAGCAAATAAATAATGCAACACAAGTAGTTTTAATAATTCAAACCAAATTAGAAAAAATATTTATTAACGATATTTAAAAAAATTTGCGGACGTGTAGGGGGTATTTAGTTGTCGCGCTCTCTATATTGCTATATAGTACTGTAGTGTATTATGTATAATGTAATTTTTAAAAAAAATGTGTGACCGAACGAAAGGATATTTCTGAAAACTTTCTTCGGCAATATTGTTCTAAATTATGGCAGGAATCGATTGGTAAATGTTTCAAGTCGCTAAGTGGTCTGGTTGCCGAGATATAGACAAAAAACTGCATTTGTTCGAGGTTTTTTGGCTTTTCCGGGAAATCCAGGAAGGAATTTCGGGAATTTTTTTGGCCCACAATCATCCTGGGAACTTGCTTAACATATTTGCTTTTGGAACTAGTCCTCGATATTGCTTCGTTGAGGAGGAGATACGACTTAAATCTGCGGATACACATCCATCCATCCATCCAGAAATGACGCATTATTAAACGCAATTGCCAGTATGGAAATTGCGCTAAAAAGAGTGACCGCATTAGTTCTAGATGGCCAGATAAATGTTCGAAATTTCAGCCAAACTCCCCTCTCCATCAGTTTTGATGTTTACTAACACAGTAGTAAAGAGGACCGGCGACGAAAGGCTCAGATTTCAGCCAGTTACCCAAGTCGCCCTGGAAGCCGAGATCACGTAACGCATTATTATCTCCCCTTTTTTTCTCTTTTGTTTATTATTCCCCCTGGCTAACTTCTCAATATCCAGCGGTTCATCGTGAAAATAAACGCGCTATTAAAAAAATATATAAACGTTTATTTTCCTAACGACTAACGGTAAAACCGAATACCTTTTAATTAAATTCGCATTTTCATCGGTTAGTTAAATGTCACGCACGCTATTTCATAATAGTGCCTCTATTTTAGTGTTTGAAATCTGTAATTTAAGAACTTAATGTACAATACCCAGACGATTTTTATTTAAAAAATACACTTGAAAAGAATAAAAATATGGTTAGATAACTTAAAAGTATTTGAAAATAGGAAAATAATGTAGACAAAGCCAGTAATTTATTTTTGTATGATATATCTTTTCAAATGTGTAAGAAAACGTATCAAAATCCTAATGGTATTGTGTTTTAAAAGCACCTTAGAAGTTTGGTCAAGAATTTTTATCTCCTTGCAGGCAGAGCAACGTTAACTTATATTTACGGATATGGGGAGGGTGGAAAGACGTCCCCCCCTCTTAACGAAAAATGTCCACCACTTCTCTCACTCCCCCCTCCCACCCCCCTTTCAGCCCTCACCCCCACTCGGACGAATTCGAGAAAAAGGATAATTTCTATAGAAACAATATACTTCAGACCCACCCCAACCTCAATTTTAAGTACGCCCCCTCTAGAAATTGTATATGTCCCCTCCCCTTCCTCCCCCGGAGAAAAATGCACTGTTGTATGTCTGAAAACTGTTTCCATATAATAATGTATTCCATAATCCCATACCATAAAATTCTGGAATGTTCATCTATGCTCCGTACGACTGACTCGCCTTTTCGCTAACAAAAGCTCTCCAGTATAACAACCTCTGCAATACATTTATTTTATTGCCGGCTTGTGCAAGTTTAATACCGACGTACTAGAAGCTAGGTTGATGATCCTTTATGTGGAAAGTTTTTTAATAAAGTCTGCAATATTTCTTAGCAACACAAGCAGTCTATCGCTATCGGTACAACTTTTTTTGCTTGTTGCTTATTCAATTTTAATACCAACGTACTGAACCTTTGCCAGTTGATCGTCCATAAACTATGCATGTTTTAAAAAGTCTTCAGGAGAAAAAAAAATATATTTGCAGACGACGGATATCCCAAATGAATTCTATAGATTTTCATCGAAAAGTGATGTTCTATATAAAATGGCCATGCAATAACATCGTGTTCTTTAGTTCTTTATCATAGTACAATACAAAGATGCCTTGTACTAGACTTCTTCAAAGGTTCTAATAAAAAATGTTTTTATATATTTTATTTATAGAATTTATTTTATTTTAATTTTTAATTACTTTATTTGTATTAAAAAATGTTTTTTTTTATTTATTTAACATTTTTAATATTTACTGTTAATTTAGAAAGATAAATACGTAATACTTAAGGATAAAAAAAAAATGTTTTGCATTCCATGGGGCTCTATGTGCAGAGTTAGAACCGCTTATCATAATATCTTTTTCAATCTCGGTTTTAAAAAGACGTAAGAGCATCAAATGAAAATAAGCCAATATCCCAGCGTCCCACAGAAGTTGAGGCTGCAATAACAGATTTGACACGTAGCGAGATGATTTCTGCTAGTAGGGACGTCAGGGGGGGGGGGAGGGGGGAGGATTGGTGTTGTGTGGAGGGTGTGTGTGTGAGTGTTTATAGAGGTTGTGTGTGTGTAGATGATGGTGTGTGAGTTATAGTGGGGTAAAGTCATTGAAACGCAAGGGGTCATAAATAGTTGAGGTGGTAATGTTTCAGCATTAACACGTCGACTGCAACCCCCCTACACATCACCTCCCACCCCCACCCCCTAACACACACACACACACCATCCCCTTCCCACTAATGCAAAAACTAGCCAGAACACATTTTAAACATTACTCACTGAAACGAGTAAATTTGATATCGTTTATGTCAAGCGAAGATCGGGAATTCCGTTCGCTACACGAAAACTAATACAACTACATTTATTAATTTTAGAGAGATTTTAAAAAGTGTACTTGAATTAGAATCTGAAATTGTGCATCGAATTGCACATACACAGCGCTTTAATACATTGATGAAAACAGTGCCTTTTTTTCCCGAACACTAGGTAATTATATATCAACTAATTGTATTTTTTGGCAAGGCTATAAAATGAAACAAATTAAAACCATTTCAAAAAATTAAAATACAAATACTATTGTTTTTCGCTTAATTAGATTTCGTCAATGCTTTGTTTTTGTGCTATAAGTAAAAGTATATACTAACGTATAAATAGTTGGCATACTGTTTTAGTAGAGACACATTATGCTTGGGGCGTTAAAATGTGGTGGAGGGGGGTGGGGTGAAGTATACGTGGACAAATTATTTGTAACAAACACAGCGTTGAAAGTCTAATGTAAAGTATGTTAAATTTGCGGTAGGCTATTTTAAAAATGTTCCAATACTTAGCAAAAACTATTTTAAATAAACAAAATCTATGTTAGTAGTAATTTTAATTATTTATATTTTCTTAAATCCCCAGACATCAACAAAACTCACACATAGATTAAATGCCATAACAACAGATTTTTATAACTAAATATCTAACTTGGTGTTGAAGAATATAATATGCTCAATCGATTAAACAGACAGATGCATATAATTAACTTACGTTATGTTCTAATGTGTTTACTAATTAGACATCAATGTATGTATGAAAAGCTAAAAAAATGGAACTTACCCGTAAAAACGTTGATAATTGATAAAGGCATGACGATTAATGAAACAAGAAGATCCGTAACAGCCAGTGAAAGAAGGAAATAATTCGTGACGTTCTGTAGACGTTTCTCTAAAGAGATCGCCAAAATCACCAGCGTATTCCCTCCAACCCCGAAGATGACTAGAGGCGCCATGATGAGAATACTCCAGGTGTAGAAATCTTCCGAAACGGGAATATCCACAAGAGAACTGTTTGCGTCCGTCCCGTACACAGCCGTGGTCACGTTGCTAGTAAATCCAAAATTTTGCTCGGGGGTGAATTTGTGTTGGTCAAACACGAGGGTGGTCAAATTCAGAAATGGGTTAACCCCGTACGGGTTGATGCTGTTGTTTAGGTATTGAACATTGTGGGTTAAATTCGACCCCCAGGGTGTGAAAGAAGCGGGATCGAATCCGGGTAAGTTCGGGATCGTGTCGTTAAACCCGATATCAGTGGAACCGACGGGCTCAGGGAAGAACTCGGCGTCGTAATGAGTTCTGTTTGAGTTCTCGTCGGTGTTGAACGGGACGATGTCGTAATGCTGATACCTTCCGTTTTCGTCGTTAACATCGTAGTAACCTATATTAGGTAGGCTTGAACTATCCGTACTCTCGAACCTACCTTGACCTTTCGTGCCAAAGTTTCCGGTTTCGGATTGGTTCCCTGTCAGAACGAGGCTCTGCTGATGACGCACTGAGGCACCGGTGTTGTCTGTTGAGTCTTGAAGCTGGAAGACGCTCGACTGCACCCCATCATCGTTCTGGTATTCCTTAAATCTCGCTGGTCGATCGTACAGAGACCCAGGTTCAAAACCCTTCGACGCCGTCTTTCCAAACTCCCCCGCGTTATACTCTCCTCTGCTCGTGTTTTGAGAATGACGCCACGGTCGGGTTCTGGAGACATCGATGTTATCCTGATCTGGTTCAGAAACCAGTACAGCATCATTCATCTTGCTGGGATTTCGGAGTAACCTCCCCTGAAGCAAACATGAAGATCTCCGTTCTCGCCGGTCTAATCTAATCAATATCCATCTTCAGTATTGATCAGTTTTCTGTAGATGCAAGACCGAATTCAATTAACAAACTGCATAATTAATGAAGCCATATTCTTTTAATCCTCAGTACTGTTTATCCAAGAGTTGTTACATGATTTCGTGAAATAGTGTTAGAGTTTCGTGACCAGACGTTACGGAAATTTCACGCAACAAATTGGCCGTCTGTAGAGCTAGCTGTCAATCTCAGGTGACAATCAAGGTAACTCGTGCTTGGACAGGTAAGAGCACCTGGGTAATTGGTAGTGTGTGGGTCGCAGGTAAAACGGGAAGTAGGGGAAGGGCATTTTATTTAGCGGGGGGGGGGGGGGGGTTGTGTCGAAAGTGTTGGTGGTTGTATACTGCTGGGTCTGTGCTTAACTCAAGATCGTAGAGTTGGGTCTGATGGGTAGGTTGGGGTAGTGGTTAACCTCACGGTATGGTTAGCCTCACTGGATGGTTAGCCTCACTGAATGGTTAGCCCCACTGGTTAGATTGCCCAGAAGGAAGTAAATTTGTAGAGCTAAAGAAAGATAAAAAAAAGAGTTAATTCATAAAACATTAATTAGGCAACTAATTAAGTCAAATTTAATGTCAGAATGCATTGTCTTCATGTCTTGACCCACATGCCAACTTTGAAACGAATCTGCCAGTTAGAAGTGCCCAAAATTTCGCTCGCCCGTTTCGATCTATGACGACAGGTAGACAGAGAAGCCAATTTAAATAAAAGCTTGTAATAGGTTAATAGTTTGTTTTATAGCATCTTAAGAGAAAACTGTTAATTAAACACAATCATCGATTTTAAGATTGAAAATAATATCACCATTCCGTTTCTACTAGTTATTCTGAGTTTTTATTTCATTAATTTATATCAGTGTATAACGATCACATCAGTGGCGTAGCTACCGTAAAGCTAACGTAAGCAAGGCATAGGGGCCCAAGGCAAATAAGGGTCCTTTTTCGAAAGTTTGAGGGGGGGGGGGGGTGAAAGTCTGAGGGGGGGGTGCAAATCGAAAGCTTGTCCCGGGTCGCCGGGAAGGGTCGCTACGCCTCTGAGGGGCCCACTAACACTTTTTGCATAGGGGAATCCTAGCTACGCCACTGGATCACATTGATAATTTACATAAAGTGTATGTAAAAAAATAATGTTATTAACAGATGTAAGAATAGAAACTTGATTTTAGTAAACTCAAATCGTCATCTTCTTTCGTTCTTGCCCAAGAAACAGTGCAGATGAAGTGGAGTTCATCTGTAGTAGTGACCTCAGCATATGCAGGGATAGTATATGTTCAGCACTATGCCCAGCTGTCATAATTTTTCCTAGTGAACTAGATACCCACCAGATCTGAATGGACGTTCTATTGATTTGAACGCGGATTCGAAATAAAGACTTTCGGGTTAGCAGTCTAGACTCTACCTTCAGGCCACGCCGTCCCTAGTGACCTCACTAATTCAAGACAATTACACTTGCGACGGATGTTTCGGCAGTTTTAACGGACACCATTTTTATTAAAAACAAAGCAGCATGAAAAGCATTGGCTTTGTACTGGGTGTAATTATGTCATGTATAATTGACATTATAAGCGAATACAGAGATAACAATTAAAAAAAAACGTTCTCACGAAAATCTCAAGGAGAATTCTGTTTGAGTGTGTATATATGTATAGTTTAGGTAAAGTTGAATTCATTAGTTTAAGAAAAATACACATTAATGTTTTTTTAAAAAAAAAATCATTTTAGGTTTAGTGTTATACCTCATTCGGCTACCCAAACATTAAATTAAAACATCAAAGAAAATACATATCGTGTTCCAATGCTATCATCAGACTTGGTTTAAAGAAGTCGTCTTTTACCTCATAATTAGTTCAAAATATAAAACATGAAGGGATAATTCTTTTCTTTAATTTTACGAATTAGTTCAAAAGTTAACTTTAGCAAATCAACACAGAAAAAGCATTAGAATAATTGTGGGTAATTAATTAAGGGTTGAATGTGGATAATAGAGAAAGTAATCCAAGTGATCTCCCTTGAACGAACGATAACTTATGCATTGATTGAAGATCGTATGTTTACACTGTGCTATTTTACAGCCTTCATTAAGTATTACACAATAACACCTAACATGATGTATGCTGATATATGTTTCCTAGTAGCACTTTAAAATAATATTTTTTTGTCAAACACTTGTGAATAACTATTCACACGGACGGAAACGTATTACACGTTGTTGTTTTTTTTTTATACAATGCATGTTTTGTTTTTCTCTGACGTAAAACACGCTGCGTGTAGGTTATCGTGGTACGGGTCAGAGTGTCTTCCCTCATCCCCCCCCCTCTGAAGGAAGTTTACCGCCCCCCCCCCCAATGAAATGAAATCTATATAGGAAACATATAATTTTACCAATGTTCGTCCCTCCCCCCCCCCCCGAAAATATAGTCCGCCCCCCCCCCTCGAAAATACCAAGTGCCCCCCCCCCCCCCCCCCCCCTCAGGAGAAATACATCTGGAAGAAACACTAGTAGAGGTTAAAAGTTGCATAAGTTTGGACTGGGTTTACATGAATACTGCCGATGACGATTGAGTGGGGAAGATAAAAATGATAGAACATTTTCTTATAGTCGCTGTAGGTCTACCTAAACAATTACCCGCAACAAGAACACGGGTCAGTAACAAGAGTTATCTGATTTTCTCACCAGGTGGCGTTGTGGAGATTTTACTTTACCAAGAGTAGTAGCCTTTAACTAATGACATCTTTATTGTAAAAAGTATAATTTTTTTAATGTCTAAAATCTGAACTGCGTATACTTTAAAAATAAAATAGTACAGTACCCTTTCCTGACCTTACGGTCAATTTGGCAGGTGAAGTAGAGTTCATCTGTTCCTGGGACCACGGTATATGAATGGATAATGTGGTCCGCACTATGCCTATCAGGGTTTACTTTCCGTAACGTGAGTCAGGTACCCGTAGGAGCTGGGTGGGCTCAGGGACGTTCTACCGACTCAAACCAGGGATTTGAACACACGAACTTCGCGTTAGCAGGCGTATGCTCTACCATCCGACACACCGTCACACAAAAACAACACATGGTTTTATAACTTACATATTATTTATCAGACAATTGCATTTTCGCAAAAAAAAATTTCAAATTTACAAACAATACATGAGCCCAGTATATAATGGTGCTTCTAAAAATATAATGTATCATTAAAATTTAATTTAACGCATATTCATTTGTAAAATAAAAGGATTTATATTTTAATCCATGTTTTAAAAAAATAATTTAAAAATGTTGAAGACGAAGAGAACTGCATTGTAAAGCATATCTTAATGACGTCAAATCCTTCCGTGAGTTACTTGTGTCTGCGCGAGTAAAGACGCGTCTATTAGCGCAGGCAAGGCCCGCGCACAATAGCTCTAAAAATAGAATCAAAGCACTGTCTATACAACGCCTATACTAAATTTAGATCTGTTCGCATCTATTTTAGAATCGTGGTCTGATCGTAATGCTGATTAACGGGCCCTATGGGGGAGAAGCTTTGAAGATGTTTCACAAGTGCAAGAAAGTTTTACAGTTTCAATTTACTAAAATAAATAGACAATTAAGGTTTATTTAAGAGACTAACTATTTTAGAAATTTAAAGTAAAAATTGTAAAAAGAATATTACACGTAACTCAAAACATTGTGTTGTTGTGAGTTAGAAGTTCAATTATTACACATTGAATTTGTTATTTAATAGAAGTTATCTTAATAGGCAAGTTTAAATCAGAGGCGTAGCGAGGGGGGGGGGGGGGCGGGGGGTGCGGACCGCGGGACCGCACCGGGTGACACCATTTAGTGGGAAGACACCAAGGCAAAAAATAGCAAAATACATAGAGAAAAATTTGAGGGGGTGCAAATCGAAAGTTTGAGGGGGGGGGGGGGGGGGATGCAAATCGAAAATTTGAAAATTTGTCCCCGGGAAGGGTCGCAACGCCTTTGGGCGGGGGGGGGGGGGGGGGTTAAGTGCCGCACCGGGTGACACCAGAGCTCGCTACGCCACTGAGTTAAATAGCTTACTATCTGATATATTATGCTTCCTGGCACTTAACATAATTTTGCCACAGGGATCAGAAAAAATTTGAGAGTTACAACTTATCATTGTGTATACAATAGTTTTTTTTTTCTGTTTTATGCGAAAGCACAAAAAAAGTAGGCCTATCCTATATCTATGGTCTTTTACAATTACCTTTTAGACAAGTTATCTAATTTTTCAAATCATTAATAACGGTGAACCAAAGTTTGAATGCAAAAAAAACAAACATAAATCTGATTTGGCTTTGCATAAGGTATCTTAAAGTTATATAGTTATGTTGAGGTTCTATAGACTTAGTACAACTTTTGCATACTAAACAATTACTTCTCAACTTCATATAGAGTCTACACATGACACAATTGTACTCTGTAAATATTGCTTGAATCGAATTCGAACAAATACCAACTACTGTAAATTAAACAAGTACAATGTAATCAATTTACACAATCTAACGTCATAAAAAATGCTTCAAAACTAGTATTTCATGCGTTTAATATCGCCAAAATTGAATGCTCTAACGATTGTAGCTTTGCATTTTTTGTTTTTCTTCTTTTTTCTTTTTCTTTTTTTTTTCAGTTAAATACGATTTGTAGGAGTTACACCAACGATTAAGAATGATACTGATAAAATTTAAATATAAAGAATCATATAAAGACGTACTTGTTTTTAAAGTAAGAATGGAACATTTTATTTTCGTAATTCAAACTTGTTTAAATAATATCTCTCACATGTCATCAAGTAAACTAAATAATTATCAAATTATTTAATGAATTACCAATAAACACGTTTGAACGAATTCGAAACTGGAACATCACAATACAGATACATATTTACAGTTTAACATTGCTAGTTACCTACCTTTACTAAGTCCCATAACCCGCGAAAATTCCGAGATAAAATATATTCCCCAACAACATTCTCACTAGCGTTGTTGTTTTCTTTAAATGTTTTTAATGAGAGTCGATACCGCCCACCTGAGATATCAGAGGCCAGATTTTTGCACCTACACACGCTGAAATTTCTTCACGAAGC